GAAGTAGTATCTTGGGATCGAGAATGTAAGAGATTGTTGGGGACGGATGCAAGTGAATTCTCTTATCATCTTAACGTGGTACTACATTTAGCCAACACATCTTCTTATTTAATTTAGAGCATTTATACATATAGTTTGATGGTTTTAATTCTTCTTCAGGAAACATTCGGTCCTAAAAGTTTCCTGAAGAGATAAAACAGCTGATTGGTAAGGAGTTTATATTCAAGATAGATCGTGATGGTCCACCATCTGTTCATGGCAAAGTGTATTACTTAGGTTGTTCATCAGATAATATGGATAAAACAAATGAGATCAAATCGTCTTTTGATGAAAACTCGGAGACAGAGGTAACCCTCTCAGAGCTCTATATTAATTTATCTTATCTGTAAATCCTCCTACATAATTGAATAAATCTCTTAACTTAAAATCATAAACTGTCTGCAGGAAGAGGGGGTACAATTCTGATTACGATCTGGATTTTCTGATTGATGATGCTCCAACTCCGGTTGAATCAAATTTGGTAAGTTTTAATATCCAAGGAAAAAGTTTAGATCCCAATTGGTCATATATTTACTTGGAATACATTAGAGTCTGAATGAGTCAGATTTAACATACTAAATGAGAAGAAAGCGAGTAAATTACGCATAGAGAAATGCCAAAAATTTAAGAGATAAAAACTGAAAGTTAGACTTAGAATGATGATTAGTAATAAAAAGTAGGGAATTTTAAGATTATAAATAACAGTCGTTTTTTTAAACAATTGAAATTAAACTGCAGGAGAGCATGCAGTTAAATATTTAAAATCAGACATTAAACATGATACCTAACCAAGCTAATCCATTAAAAACAGGAATAAACAAAGTAGGTAAATCAACATTGTTTGGAAAGACATTTCCGCTCAACCCATTTCCGCTCTACACCGTACGATTAACTTCCTCTTTTTTTTTTTGCTTTTTTTCTCGGATTAACTTCCTCAGATCCGCACAAATCCTCACTTCTCTCATCCCATTCACACAGAGAAATTTAATCGATGAAGAGGAGGGCAGATCTACGGCTTCTCATCTCTCCCAAGCAAATTGATTCTTCAGCCTCTCCAATTACAACTGGTGTTACGTCACTTTCAGGTAATCAGGTCACCGTTGCCTTGAAAATCATGCGGTGGCAGCTTCGTCTCAAACTGGCAGGACGGCGTACGAATCGAGAACAACCCCTTCTCTGGCATAGCTTGGTGCACATATATGCTTCCGCCGCTGGCGCTGGAAAGCGCTGATAGTGGTACCCCTTAAAATCAGACATTAAACATGATACCTAACCAAGCTAATCCATTAAAAACATGAATAAACAAAGTAGGTAATTCAACATTGTTTGGAATTCTGATCAGATCAATTGATCATTTTATTGACTTTTATATAATTTTGTGTTTGATTTTACTTTCAGTTTTGATCCATACTCTCTCATCCATATAGTGTATTCAAACAGATATATATCAGCTTCTCTCATCCATAAGTGTATCAAAAAATAGTGCTTAAAGTATAGTTGAGTTTACTTTAGGATAACAATATATATATCAGCTTCTCTCAACTATGAATAGGCAAAAAAAAATTATTTTCCAGTGACTTAACATTATATGATCAACAGCTTGGCATCCAGAGAAAACAATATAAGAAAATGGGCATCCAAAGAAAACAATATATGAAACCCTTTTAAGTTTTCTGGAAAATCAAACTGCTTTAAGATGTATTATGTCCTGCACTGCAATTTATTCCAAGAATAAATTGAATTAATTTTGTTTTTATGTTAGTGCAGACAGTTATCTCCGAAGAAATTGAGGACGTTAAGAGTACTCCACAATCATTGTCTAAGCAACCGTTTGAAGACGAGATTGATTGTGTTGAATGGTGCATCATCCACTCAAGGTTCAGCTACTAAGAAGCTCAAAGTGGTCAAGATAGAGAAGCCATAAATTATTACCCACGTGTGTTTTTTTGTTTCACTTTTGGATTATGCATTTTAATGTTCTGAATTCTTATTTATGTTTTCATTATTTTTTTTTAAACTGAGACGTTTTCATCAAATCATTTAGTTCAACGTTTGTTTTGCTATCCACAATAATAAATAGTTTGCTTTGGAAGTGTTATGTTACAGGATATCATTAGCACAATGTTATATAAGTAAGGCTTTGGCCTTATAATTAACAGTTTACTTTGGAAGTATTATATCGTTAGCATATTGTTCTAGCTGCTAGATATCTCTTTGTTTTGAAGAATAGTTTTTCTTTTTTTCAGCTACATGTAATTTTCATAGAATCATAAAAAGAGCTACAGGTTATTTTTGAATATATTAGTAATTTTCAGTTACTTTCAAATTTTAGAATTCGTACTTCTAAATGATTACATATTAGTAATATTAATAATTGTGCTTATCCTTATTTATTCACTACTGTTTAGGATATATAATAATAATATGTTGATGATAATGTTCAGCTTTTTAAAATCTGGATAGTCTTTAGGATATAATAATATGTTGATGATAATGTTCATAATTTTTATATCTGAAAGGGAAGTAATAAAAGTAAATCGAAGTGATAACATATTTCTAATTGTGTTTAATTTGTCCGTATGTATTCACTACTTTTTAAGGTAACATTTGTTAGTGATAGTATTCAGTTTTTTTTTTTAAACCCGGAAATACAAGTAAAAAATAAAAGTAAAATTGAAATTAATTGAAAGATTCATATTAATTAATGTTCAGTTAAAGAGTTGTAAATCAATTATATACGTTATTTTACTGGCCTAGGAATAGATGATATTATCTAATGAAAATACTTAAAAAGCAATGATTAAAATTAGGGTTTTTTACAAGAATATTACTAAAATAAAACATATTTATATAAATATGACTATTCATTACTACAATGTGGTGTTGTGGTAACTTAAGCTCAAAACTTGAACATGAATTACTATGATTTCATTACTACTCTAGTCAATAATCATATTTTTGTAAATCATCTTTATTTTGGTCATATTTATATAATTATTTCTTAAAATTAGAGGCAGGTTTGTGGTCATCTGCACCTTCATTACATGAAGTGTTTGTCACTCTTCTTATTGCGGGCGCACTGTCAGAGGTGGACTTCGTGTGGGAGAAATGTCAGCAATATTTCTCAGAAGATATATGATATAATATGAGAAGGACGCTGAATGATACAGGTATACATGAGTTATGATAAAGTCAATTAAAAGTATCTCACTTGGACTTGGACTTGGACTTTTTATGATTTAATAGGTAAATTTTAATGTAAATCACCTTCCTTATATGACTAATATTTTTTGTAGAGCACGAAATGGACGATGAGGAGATAGAGAAATATTGTTTAGAGAAAATAGAGAAACTTCTTTAGCTACGAGGAAGATCATTACGTGACGTTGTTGGAATTCCATTGCCTCCTGACTCATACATGCCTTCGTTGGAAGATGTTCTCATTAATAAGGAAATGAAATATGATAAGCGTGCTTTGACCGAGGAGCATGAAAGTTTGATGGTTGATATGAATGAAGAGCAATGTGCTATTTATGAAGAAATCTTGAAATCCGTAGACAGACAAAATGGCGGTGTATTTTTCGTGTATAGATACAGTGGCACTGGCAAAACATACTTGTGGCGGACTTTGTCTGCAGCGTTAAGGTTCAAAGGGCAAATAGTACTCAATGTGGCATCTAGCGGTATTGCATCACTGCTTCTACCAAGAGGAAGGACCGCACACTCCAGATTCGCCATCCCGCTGGATGCAATAGAAGATTCAACATGCCACATAAAGCATGGAAGCCCATTGGCGAGGCTGATCGAATGTACAAGGTTGATCATTTGGGATGAGTCACCGATGACACACAGGTACATATTTGATGAATAAATAATGCACTAATCAATTCATATCGAAAATGAATTAATTAATTGTAAAATGACATGCAGGTATTGCTTTGAAGCACTTGACGTAGTATGAGAGATGTTCTTCGCTACTCACATGATTGTGATTCTACCATGCTCTTTGGTGGGAAGACAATCGTATTTGGCGGGGACTTGAGACAAATATTGCATGTCATTCCAAAGGGCAAAAGACAAGATATTGTGCAAGCGGCTTTGAATTCATTATTTTTGTGGTCATACTGCAGGGTGTTGAAGTTGACAAAGAATATGAGGCTTGGGCACGTGGAAGGAACAACTTACGCATTAGAGATTCAAAACTTTGCCGAGTAGATTTTGAAGATTGGAGATGGGGTCCTGGGGGACGATGATGATGGAGAATCAATGGTTGACATCCCTAAAGAATTTATTGCTCCTATGACAGATGATCCCATTGAAGCTATTGTTAAGATCACCTATCCTGATTTTGAAATGCAAAGTTATGACGTTTCTTATTTGAATTCCAGAGCAATTCTTGCGCCAACCATTGATGAGTGCGACATGATCAATGAATACATTTGAGATTGACTCTAGGTGAGGTAAAGACATACTTAAGCTCAGAGTCAGCATCTTCTTCTGACTCAGATAGTGCACTACTTCAAGAGATCCACTCTCCAGAATTTCTTAATACTATTAAATGCTCTGGGCTGAAAGTGGGTTCACATGTGATGCTAATGAGGAATATTGATCATTCCTCTAGATTGTGTAATGGCACTCTCCTCATTGTCACTAAACTTGGAACCCATAATCTCGAGGCTCAGATGATGTCTGGAACAAATGCAGGGAAAACATTTCTTATTCCGAAGCTTAGTTTGACTCCATCCGACCTAAAGCTGCCTTTCACATTTCAGAGTAGACAGTTCCCTTTGATGCTTAGTTACGCGATGACCATTAATAAAAGTCAGGGACAGTCTTTGGAAAGGGTTGGTGTTTTCTTACGTCGTCCGGTTTTCACCATGGACAACTTTACGTCGCGGTCTCAAGAGTGGCATCCCCGTCTGGGTTGAAGTTTGTTATATGTGATGATGATGGAAAACCGGCCAAGAAGACTTTAAATGTGGTTTACAAGAAAGTATATAATAATTTGTAATTTTTTTATATTTATTTACTTTTATTACAAACAATATATACATTGTTTTATATTTATGACAACATTTCTTTATATTTTCAAATTTTTTATTGCTTACTACCTGCATCCCGTGCGAAGCACGTGTGAAAATCTAGTATCATAGTAACGTGAAGTTGAGGCGATCTTTGTGGTCCTAATATGTACTTTCTCTCTTGATCAATCCTAAAGTGTCATCTCCTTTGGGCCCATAACAATAATGTCTTTCCATTGCCATAGAAGTTGGAGCAGAGATCCAGCAGGGATGGCCCATCACCAAACCATTGGAGGGTGCAAGAACGAGTTGATGAATTGGAGAGCCATAGAAAAACTGGCCATGAAAGGGCTGTTCTGAATGCATAATGCGATGAAGAAACTCAGAAGAAGAAGAAGATTTGCTTTTGCGACGACCGGAACCAACGGGGACGTTCCGCATTGAGCCTCCAGCAGTCCAGTATCTCTGGCAGTTCTTGCAGAAATGGCGAGGTTGATTCACATTGTAATTGTTGTAGTAACAAAATTTGGTGAACTTGCTCTTGCATCTTGGGCATGGAATAATTGCATCTCTTTGCTTTTTACATTGTGTTTCTTTTCCATATGAATTGGCCGTACCATGCTCATCATCATCTTCATTCCCCTCTTTACTCTCTAAAAGTTTCAAGGATATAATCTGATCAATCATATCAAAAGAACGGATTTTGAATAAGAGATAAATTTAATAAGTCCTTTGCCCCTATTGCATAACCATTAATTCGCTTTTAAATGTATGAGAATGTCCGTGTAATTGTAAAACCTTTGGTGCAATATGCTTTTTCACTAGAGCTAAAAATGATAAATCGAAACAAACAAAAGTCGATCGATCAAAATTGAATCCGCCGAAATTGAATAGAGGTAAACCAAAAACCACTCAACTCTAGGAAATTTGGTTAATAGCTTCCAGCTTTAGAATTTAAAACCCACCAAATCAAGTGGGTTTTCCGAAAATAATACTACTACCTCCGTAACTTAAAAATCTTCCCATTTCAAAAGTAGGTAGATTAAGAATAGTGAAAGACGATATGAATTATTGAGAGTATGATGGGAAGATAGTGGAATAATGTGATGGAATGTAGGATAAATCCAAAAAAAGTAGTTGTAATAGTGTATTATTTTGAGAATTATTGAGGGTATGATGAGAATATTTAGAAATGAGAAGATTTTTTTGTTACGGACGAAAAAGGAAAGTGAGAAGATTTTTATGTTACGGAGAGAGTATAAAAAAATATATCAATAAAAATGTGACTATAAGTTACTATGTGTAAGTTTTATAGTCACTATGATTTAACATTTGAATACATTATAGTCACTAAAGTTACCTGAAGTCCTGAAACACATTTTTGTCCACTACTTTTATTTTCATTATATATTATGGAGTAGGAATTATTAAAACTAGTACGGACCAATCAAATTTAACTGATACACACTCTAAGTAAAAATAAGGACCGTACGGTTAGGTTCCTGGGCTACATCACGTTGCTCTTTATCATTATTCGTATAATGATAACATGTAAATTACATTAGACAAAATGACAAATTATTGATAATATAAGAACCATTAAAGCAAGCTTTTTATCGTATAAACATATGATGTTTTTATTTAGACTGTAATTTGTCCCAGACCAGATCAGACAAAATCAGATCAGACCAGACCAGACCAGATCAAACTTGGGTAGTTATAAAAATACAAAGAAACCAGATCAGACCAGACCATCAAATTACAGTCCAAGTAAAAACATCCTTAGAGATCGTTTAGCAATATCAAAATCGGTTGAATCAGCTGATTCTGGTGAAATTTATGACATTCTGGCTGACATGGCTAAATTGGTTGACTCTGCTGATTCTGCTGAAATTTATGAAATTATGGCTGAAATGGCTAAATTGGTTGACTCTACTGATTTATGAAAAAATTATATTTAAACTCTATTTTATTAATAAAATAAAGAAAAAATTGTATGTGAAAATAGTTAAAGTGATCCTCTATTGTAACTTAAGCCTCTATCCAAACATAAAAGTAACTCCAACCTTAATGTTCTTAGTGTTTGGTGAAAATGTGGCTAATAAGCCTGATAAGACAAAAGATCGAGTTACCAAACAAAGCTCTTAAAGTTAATAGAGTAGTTTTTTTTTGGGCAAATCTTTCTAACCTATTATAGTACATAAAGTTATCAACATTCTTGAACTGAGATGAGATTCAAACATGTGATCCCCTCTTTGGAAGTGTCACAATGATGTCATCAGACCATAAGGTACTTGGAAATAGGGTAGTTTTTTAAGAAATGTCCATTTAAATTAAAGTCTCTGGAATATTTTATATGATACAAAGTATTTAAAAGTATTTTGCAGCCATGAGCGACTCTATGGTGCACTGATACTTCACCCTGATGCCGTATCCGCGTTTCCGATACGTATCCGATACCGATACTCACTGATACGCTTCATGTAAGTATTGGGTTCGTATCCCGTAATTTAATAAAAGTATCGGACTTATTTTTAAAAATACCAATTCTTCCGATACCCGTATCCGTGAACCGATACGCGTATCTGACCCTATAACCCTCATTTCATACACGACATGAGGAAATTTTAGTAGCCGCCCAAGCGACCACAAGATGTGGAACATTGATAAAGATCATTTCGGGAGTATGGAAAATATTGGAATACTATACTCCGTCTTTTTATCGCTTGATGAGCTTTAATTGAAACTATACTTAGATGTAAATGCGAATAGAGAACAAAAAACATTATTGTTTGAATTTAAATCGAAATATCAGTACTTTAGATTTTTAGCCTAATCTTTGAAATTTTATTATAATAGTTAATATTTTGTACTATTATTATTTTATTTATTAACCTCTGAATTATATATATTTGCAAATTATACCCTATATTTTTATTATTTATAAATACACCCTCGTACATGTATCCTATAATTTTTGAAATTGTCATATCATCGTATTCATATTCGCGTATCGGGTTATCCGTATCCGTGCAACATAGAATGGGTGGCCACAATTAGGGCTGGTCTGGGCCCTAAGAATCTATAAACGGAATAAAAAATACGAAGTATCTAAATATTTAACTGGACAAGAACCTAAGAATATCTTCAAAGAATATACTTTGGATAAGTTTTATGATTTACATTAAAAATTGTTTTTTAAAAAACATTTGGGGTAGATCTTGGTCTAGAGAAAATGCTTAATAGTAAATGTTGACAGTATTTGATTTTTTTTAAAAGTAAAAGCCAACAGTATTTGATAAAAAAAAATGTTCTCGCGTAATGGAAAACTTGAAAAAGTAGTTGAAGGTGCCTCTCCATCTACCCCTCAACCTGTTTCCATCTTTGATATTGATAGAATTTTAAATTTTTAATAACTAACTCCAAATTTTGGAAAAGTAATTAAGCTCTTTTAGAAAATTTTAGCTCGAAGACAAAAGATTAAAGATGAAGATTTTTTTATTTTTAATTTGGTGTATTGGCGGATTAAAATGGGGATTAAAAGTGGTAATGTGGATGAAAGAATGTAAAAATAAAGGGAGGAAAAAAGGTGGGCTGCTGCGTTCTCCATGTTTTTGGCTGACATCATGGTGACATCATTTTGACGTCACCGTACACCCAGGACTCCGGGAGGCTGGAATGAAAAAAAAACTTTTTGAACGATTGAACGGTTGGGGTCATTTTGAAACTGTTTGAATGAAAAAACGACCCAAGGTTTGAAATTGAAATACAACGGTTGAAATATTTTATTTTATTTTTCTATTATTTTTTTTATTAATATTTGGTTCGAAAAAATAATGAAATTTATTTAGTCTTACATCAAAATGTGTATTTTTATCTCCTAATTATTCAGGGGAAAAATTAAAAATATAACGTAACCTATAATACTTTAATTAATGTTTTACTAAACTGATATGTAAAAAGTATGTTGAGTGTATTTTATTGATGGTACTGGAATGTAGGGTAATAGGAGTCTAAACACCGTTTTCATGTAGACTAATTGTCAAAAAGTATGGCAGATGCCAATTATTATAATGTTTATCTAGAGCTCAACGAAAAGTATGGCAATTGCCAATTGTCAATTAAGGATGTTTTTACTTGAAATTTTTCTTTAGTCTCAGACTAGAACTGACCAGATCAAACTAGACCAAACTTAAACAGATCATACTAGACTTCCTTAGTTATAAAATACACAGAATTAGACATTTACCAGACCAGACCAGACCAATTCAGCCCAGACCAGCCCAATCAAACTAGCAAATTACAGTTAAAAACATGGTACAGAAAGTATGGCAATTGACTTTTCACCTAACTTTACTTTTATAATTTTACTTTTCTAAACAAGCGGACAATTGGCAAAAAGAATTGGCTATTAAATGGTACTTCTAGTTTTTTCTTTAATTATTGATAATTTGATATTGATGCATTTAATAACCAACTCTTAAATTAAACATATCAATATTGCTACAATTCTGCAAAAAAAAAAAAATACATTCCTACTACGAGTATATCTTATGAACAGCTAGCCAAAGTTCCCGCAAAAAATCCGTCTCCACAAAAATTCTGCATATTTTATGAAGCTGATCGAATTCCTAGTACGACTGTACGAGTATCTTATGAACAGCCCGAACTTGCCAACTTTTTAATATGAGGATCTAATTACTACGAGTATATCTTATGAACAACCCGAACCTCGCAAATGTCTTCAGATCGGGACGTGAGGGACCCTTGGAGTGGGTGATTTAACTTTTGATGATCTCATTACTCATATTATATAAAGTAATTCCAGCTTAATCATTTTGACTTGCACGTTTTACGTTCTCCTGGAAATGGGAGGGTGTATCGGTGTGTCGTATACTCGTATTGACTATGGAAAATTCCAGTATACTATCCATACGCTGGTAGAATCATATGAAATTCATACATAAATCACATTGTTTTTCAATAATTTATTCAATTAACTTTCCTATGGAAGTATAAGTTGAAATTTTGTTTGAATGTTTCAATGAAATTTTGTGTGTTCCCCGTCAGTCCAGACTGACCAAATCATATTGCAATTGTATATACCTTATTGTCTTTTGAAGCTGAACGATCAGCAGAACAGGACATGCCGTCGTCCCAACACGGACTTATAGTTTTTCCGAAGAGCTTGATTGCTGCCGGATCTTTAGCTGCCGACATTCCGGTGATACTCTCCGGCTAGCTTGTTATTCCCCTGTTTCTTTCGGAACAGGGCGAAATAGGCTAGAAAGTACTCCGTAATAACTTTTCTGCAGCTTTTTTAGCTTTTGTTTTGTTAGTCTTAGCTCAAGAAAACTGAAGTTATTGAAGAGTTCTAGAAGTGGGATTAAAAAATGGAATTTCATTGGCCATCGTTATTGGGATTAAATATCTCCACAATTCCTTGGGGTTGCTGAAGAAGGGAAGAAAGCGGAGGAAGAGGAGGTGGCTTAGGTGGACATGTCAGCAAAAGGAATGAGTTTGTAGCCACATGATTGTGAGTGGTGCGGATCTCTTTCTTTGTTCCCGTTGCTCCACACCAAGTTGCTATAAAAGTGCAAAGTGTTCTACCCAATTTTCTAGTTCTTCGATTTATTAACACCTTTCTATAGTAACATGTCAATGTTATACGCCAAGACTCATTTGATAACGCTAAAATCAATTGAATTGATTGATTCTGCTGAAATCTGTAAAGTTTTGATTGAAGTGACTGAATTAAGTGATTCTGCTGATTTATGAGAAAAATTATATTTCAAATATATTTCATTAATAAAATAAAGAAAATATTATATGAAAAATAGCTAAAATGACAATCCACACTAACTTCATCCTATACAGTCAGAAAAATAATTCCAACATTATTTTTTCTTATTATTACATAATTTAGCGCGCGAAATCAAAACTACGTGTTTGATTAAAAAATTGACTGATAAACCTCATAAGTCGAAAAACAGAGTCATCAAACGGGCTCTAATACTCATCATCTTAGTTTTGTAAGGGAGGATGTTAAGGATATAGTGGATTGAACCATATGACAACATAATTTGTTTGATTTTGTGACTAACTTTTTTATATTTTTCATATTTAGATTACTCTGTTACTCGTATTATTTAAGTTTTGTATAATTATTTTTTAACTCTGTTTAATTTGAATTTTGAAATATAGCTCTACTATTTGTTATTGGAATTTTATTAATTCAAGACCTAAAAGATAATAAGAATTTTACATCCGGGATTAAAGATGAAACTTATCGATATATAATCCGAATTGATAATTCGTCTATCTTTACCTTATGTAGTCCTGTCATTTCATATTTCACGGTTCCACATCATTACTCGACTGATCATGTTATTATCTATTGAAATTAAGAAAGTTGAATTTAATTTGAAGAGAAAAGTTACTCCATATATGCTAATACATGGTCCAACTGATCATGTATTTATTTATTTAAAAATAACATAAAGAGATAAGTTAGTACAGTTAAAATCACTTCTCCAGTTCTACACTTTCCACCAAACTAATTTGAAATCTGTGAACTCAACGTAACACATTTTTCTAGAAATTGCTCTCCACTAAAACATAAATGAAGTGTAAAAAAGAACTTATTAAAAGAGTAATTAATTAAAACATCTTAAAATAGAAATAAATGAATCCTATTTTGAGAATAAAATAATGATATGATAGTTCTATTTGTGAACGACTATCATTGTTCTAGTTAAACACTATCATTGTTCTAGTCCTGTTTAACGAATTTTCTCATTTTTCTTACACCGGCCAACTGAATGTAACAATTATTAAGAATACAAAGTTTGAAATTGATACTTGTATATCGTATAATAATTTTATTATTAGCAAAGATTATTGCAAAAATACAATTTCCTAATTTCATAATTTCATTCATCATTTATTCATTTGTCTATACTCTATCGTGATCTCGTGGACGGGAATTTTGTAACTGAAACTTTTGAAGGCAGACAGCGCAATTAGGCAGATGATGAGGAGCTAGAAGTACAGGAGTTGCCAACATAAGAACGATCCTACAGCCAGTCACAGCTAACTACTCTTTCCAATGTTATGAAATTCAATAATTCATTCTACCTTAGATATTTTCTAATCTATTTTTATTTTTATTGTTTTAGCACATGCATGTGACTATGTGAGGGATGGGAATATGGGATCATGGGATCAGGGACGGATCCAGGATTTCCATTCAAGGGGGGCGAAATTTTTCGGTAGTGCAGGTGGTGAAAAAATTTTCGTTAGTGTAGTGGGGTGAATTTTTTTTCCCTAGTGTAGCGGGGCGAATTTTTTCCGCTACTGTAGGGCTATGCGGCTAATTTTATTCAAAAAATGGCATTAATACATACACATCCCCAACGACATTTAAATCTATTAAGTAGTACATTCTAAGTTTAAATTAGACGATGACAAAGACATCAACCAATACATTTTTAATAACTTCTACATTGTTTAACCTCATGAATCGGTTATTATTGAATTGTAATTTTTGTCCGGCCACCAAGGAGGGTGTTCGTGAGTCATGACTCATGAGAAGTTTTCTTAATATTACAATAGTAGTATGTATGATATTATTATTTTTAGAATAATATGCACCACATACACACACATATATGGTGCATATTATATTTTAATATTTGTATTAATGCTATAATAATTTAACGTTTATTATCTATGCAATAAATTATTTTTAGAAAGCAAGAAGTAAATGGATTGTGTAATTTAATGTCAATAAACATTTATATTTTGCATTCATTTCACGTGATCTAAAAACTGTGTAATTAGTGTGTCTGATATTTAATATTGTTTGATATATATTTTACAAAATCAAGTACTTGTTATCTAATAAAGATAATTAAACATTACAAAACTAGGAATTCTTATATAATAAGTATCCTAAATCTTAAACAACGAGTTATTCTATTGTTTATTTGTTTAAGTTATGTAATTATTTTAGATGTTCTTTCTTTTAAATCTTCAATTAAGTATTACATTATGTAACACTATATATTAATTTTGAAAATTAAAAGCTAAGGGGGGCGAATCTAATTAAATTATGAAAGTTTTATGAAAATATTACATATATGGTAGAAAATTTTGAAAGTCCAAGGGGGGCGGTCGCCCCCCCCCCCTAAATCCATCCCTGCATGGGATGTATAAATAGACGGTCAGATATTCAGACACATTTTTTCTATATTTATCTTCTATGTTTCATCTTTCATACATATATACCATCTTAGTTCATATGGAGTATTAGGATGTTTTTTTGGGACTGTTTTCAGTCTCAGACCAAATCAGACCAGATCAGATCATAATTCCGTAGTTATAAAATACACAGAGACCAGACGTTTACCAGACCAGACCAAACTATCAAATTTCAGTCCAATAAAAACATCCTTACTAATTAATTAAAATAATTAACACGTTATCTTAACTTCTAAGCTCTTTGGTAATTTTCAACTTATCAGTCTTATCATTAAACTTTTTTATCATATACATAACTTTTAGTTTCGTACGCTGAACTATTTAACAATCAATATGGGTAAAGTTATACCCCGCATATAGTTACTTTTCTGGCTGAATTCACTGAATAAGAATGATTTAACTAAACTTGATTTATATAAGGAAAAAAAGTCAAATAAGACCTTCTACTATTTGTAACCTCACTTAAGCCCATGTATTAAAAAAAGTATCATATACGCACGTCTACTTTTAAAATACAATCAACCAAGCCCTTTGACTTGCTATAGCAGGTTATTTTTTAAAATTTAAATTAGGAATATTGATACATCTTACAAAAAATCATATAAATTTGAATAAATATAATCTAATAATAATATAAAAATAGTATAAATATAAAAATAGATAAAAATTTTAAAACATTAAAGTAAAAGTAAAAACAATTATAAAACTGAAAAATAATGTGGAATCAAAAAAATAAAAACTTTAAAAACCTTTTAAATAGATGTGGAATATACAAATATTTTCATAAATTAAAAAATCTTGACTGATATTTTGAAAATTTTCACAACTTTTGTATGTATTTCTTCACATTTTAACAATTTTTAGAAATTTTAAGTATTAAAAAGACGCTATTACAGGTCAAAAGCTGATTAAATAGTCAAATTGATCCATTTTGTAAAGTATGCGTACTTATATGGTACTTTTTTTAGTACATGGGCTTAAGTGGCGGTTTGGAAATAGTACAAGGGTTTATTTGAACCTTTTTTCCTTTATATAATTTATTTTTATTTTCTTAATAAAATCAGTAATACTCCAATTGAGCATGTTAGGCCAATTTTAAGTGGCGGTTAGGAGTATATTTTAAATGTAAACGTTTACAATTGAGCATGTTAGGCCAATTCAACGGTATTACGCCTATTACCCATTTCAACAAATTAAGTCATTTCATTAACTTTGATGGCTAGTAAGGGGGCTCTCTAACTATCTATATACAAGAAAGATTTTTCTGTAAAAATGTGCTAGAAATATTGACTACATAAAATGCACCCTCCCAATATAATACTGCCTCCGTCCTCCTAAGTTTGGGACAGATGAGTGTGGTGTGCTTTTTAAGAAAAAGTAGAATTGGATGATTGATATTGAATTGATAAAGTGTAAATAAAGTAAGAATGAATTCTAACCACTCAAATCTTATGAAATATGGTATAAGACAAACTTAATGAGATAACGAAAAAGGTAAAACATCATAAATGTTAGGGAACAGAGGAGTAATTCTTTTTCGAGATGCTCCTACCACCTTAGGAAGATGATGGCTCACAAAAATAACTGGCAGGCAATTTCACTTCGATCAGTCTACCTTAGTTTATCTGACTTATCTGCAAGAAATGTCGTCCCAACCTCAGGTAAAAGCTTCCTACTGAGCTGCTACCAAAATATGTTCCGTATTTGTTTCTTAACGCAAAATCTAGGAATTGAGACTAGAGCTCTAACCCAACAACATACTACCTCGGGATCCGTCCAATGGACATTGCACACTTTGAATGAAGTGCAAAATAAGAAGAATGACAATATTTTAATGAGAAAGTGACAAAGTTTTTTGAATCAAAAAGAAAAAGTTGGCAAATTCCAATGAAAGGAAATGGTATCAAGTAGTACGCACATGTTCCGTGCTTTTTTAAAGTTGGGAAAAGGTGCAAATGGGCCCATGTACTAACCAAAAAAGATCATATAAGCCCTTATTTAGGAGGCTTTGTCCGGCTGTCGCCATTTGGAGTGGTTCCAGATGAAATTTTTTGATGAATTTTTTTGAGCATCTTATTCATTAAGTCTAGTTTACTCATACCAAATTTCAGCTAAAACTTCAATCGGGAAGGCATTCAAATG